GTAGATGAATGCGTTTTTCTTTCCTAAAAAGAGCCTACTCGATCAGTACTGATTTGCTTCAAGTTTGAGGTAAAACCATCCATATTTTACACTCAAGCGGAAGTAGATACTCACCTACTACAATTATGGCGGGGGAAAGCTTAGAACAAACACTGAGGAGAAAAAAACACGTTTGTTGGTTGGAGTGAACAGAAATGCGGTTACCAGGTAGACGGCCATATATGATTGGTGACGGTGATACGGTGTGTCGTGGTTCTCGCTGAAGTAGTCTGACGTCTTGCCTTTATATTAGAATTCGAGACCGTTTATGAAATTTCGAAATTAACAGGGAAACGTTGGACACGTGACTTTTGATGTACTGATTAATATAGGGAGCAGTAGGCTCACTGCCAGCAACGAATAACCTGAGGGTCTAGGATAGAAGAAAATCTGTTTTTTCTTCAAACCTGTGAAACCGCGCAAAAAATCGGGGTATTGAACACGGGATGCAATGCCCGAATTTGCATATCAAGAATCCGAAGGTGCAGAGAGAACGGTATCCTTCTCCATTGGAATCAAACTCCGCTTGTTCAGATTAGAACATCACCAACTCGGAAACTGATTACTTGACCAATGTGGATTCAAAAATGATCACGACATCAGCGGTTATGTTTTAAAGCCATTTGGAATGAGTATTAGCAAGGCCAGATTCCTGAAAACAACCACTGAATGCCCGAAATCCGCTGAGACTCAGCTCCGCTAGATGTTGACCAGACAGACATTGCCCTCTCAGCATGCGGTACTTCAAAGGCAGCGAGAATCGGCGTTGATCAATGTCAGACAACGCCCCCGCAATATGCAGCGCGTCACAGCCTCGTACCAAAGCCTGACCGCGTGAGTCAGCATTGGACCAAGTTCAGACAGTGTCCCTCCAATAAATAGCTTGAGACCGTCTTACTTTCACACTCGCTCGCACTCATATCCTCGCACTCGCCTGTTCGGAATACAGCTGTTGTGTTCCTACAGACTTTTCGAAATGTTTAAAAGTAAAGAGTCAAGAGACGAAACGCCCAAGTGAACCAATGATCATTGTGATTTCAAAAAAAGACTGCAAACCAAGACAATCGATTACTCCGTCCTNGTCAGCATTGGACCAAGTTCAGACAGTGTCCCTCCAATAAATAGCTTGAGACCGTCTTACTTTCACACTCGCTCGCACGCACTCATATGCACTCGCCTGTTCGGAATACAGCTGTTGTGTTCCTACAGACTTTTCGAAATGTTTAAAAGTAAAGAGTCAAGAGACGAAACGCCCAAGTGAACCAATAATCATTGTGAATTCAAAAAAAGACTGCAAACCAAGACAATCGATTACTCCGTCCTTGTAGCCGGAACAAATAGCACAGGACGGTAGCCGAAATCTACTGATAAGGAAAGAAACCGAAAATGATATTAAACTACATGGGCTTGCAGGAAATGCGTAAAATTTTTGGACGTTATAAGCCCTTCAAAAAAAGCGCTTGGGGATATATTTCAGTAAAACCCTATCTACATCAGGGACAAAGTGTCGACAGTAGATATGTCCAGTGGCATACACCTTACAGACTAGAATGGAGAAATGTGTCCCTTTTCTTTTGGAGTAGATCTGCTTGGTTTGCAACTCACGTGACACACAGTGCATTCCTTTATCTGTGGAGGTTTCGTTCTGTAAGTGAAGTCAATCTATACTGAAAAGCCGAGAAACACTGTACAGCCGTTTTATCCTTATTGGGAATCATCGGCGGTGCGCATCTCACAAAAGTCCCGAGAGTCTCAAACCCGCGACCTCCTGACTGGTAGCTGAAAAAGTGCTGAAATCGGCATAACTCGGGTGGGCTCATCGGTCGTTGATCAAGCGGAAGTCGAACAACAGCCAGTGGCTAATATTCCAGTAAAATACACGCTTTTTAGGAGAGGTTTGCATTCATACCTTCACCATAAGATATGGCACACTTGTTTGTTGCTCCTCGGAACGTACAAATGATACGACATGTGATTAAAACCGGTATAACAGCGGATACTACTAATGAGGCATGCAAGTAGCATGTGGCTTTCTTGTAAGCCCGCTTCACCTCTAATAGAAGGTGGAACGGAATTTGTGGGACTGCTTTGCAACATTCTTTTACGATTGCATGAAAGTTGATGAAGACGTTGCTTAACCTATTCCACGATGACCTTGTTTGATCAATTGCTAACTGGTCAGTACATACTTCTTAGCCTGTTATCCGGAATTGTTCACTTAAAGGGGAACTGAATTGTGGCCCGGCATGCTTTCTGAAAGCATAGATTACGAGAGGCCTCGGGCCTGCCGTAGAACTTAGGTGTACGGTTGCTGGAAAGTGTGATGAGGTCTGCTCAGAATAAGCGCGCAGCTAGGTGAGTTTTTGTTAACTCGGGAGTATTTCGATAAATCTCCGTATCCCTTTTTGTTTAAAACATGTTGCTGACTAACCTGGTTGGAAGCTCGCAGTAAAAGTCAGCTTTGGTTTGTTCTTGCCCACTCGATACTGTACTAGCATCGTTTGGCCTCGTGACATGATTTGTCGATGGTGTGTATCACATTTCATCATGAGAAGCGGCCACCCCTTATTCGGTCCGTCGTACACCTTCACAATCTCGTCAAAACACGGTTCATCAGGGTCGGTCTCTGAATCAAGTTGAATCTGTGATAAAAAAAATTTCGAGGATAAAAGGATAGGAAGATAGGAATACACATTTACAAAGCATCAGATGTGAAATATCGAAGGATCATGAGGAATTTCGAAACACGCGGTTGCAGTAAGAAGCTTTGAAAGTCCATACATAATTGGGGGAGCACTAGGCGAGGAAAATTCACTAAACCCAGCTGAATATTTCGTTCATTATGGTTCCTGAAAACGGAATCTGCTGTGACTATTTGATGAGACCCCAAAAAAGATGGAACCAATTGTGGGCTGTCATAGACCTTTGGGAAACCTTAATTATAGCGTCTTCTGAAGAAATTATTCTGCGACATTCTGAGCTTCATTCCAAGCGAAACGTGAGGCAGCTTTTTTGCAGCACATTCAGTTTAAAAATATCACGATCGAATGATCAAGTTGGGCTTCAATTAATTCTTCAGTGGGAACCAGATGTGTGTATTTGGCTAGCAAAATCTGTAACATTCATATTACAAGACCAGTATCAACAAGGGGTTACATTCATCGTGAGGAAACCAGGTGGTATTCATGAGGTGTTTTAAAAAACGGACAACCTGTTTATTCTTTTTGTACTGATCACGATCAATATTCTGCCAGCTTTTGGGCACCTTGGGTTGCAGACGCTTCATCAACAACCAAGGTGACATCGTCAGTTACTCGATTCCGCACGGACGATGCCACCCTAATTGGTGATGGGATGCTTACAATTTGTTCATAACCACACCACTCTCGTTTGAACGGCCGTGTTCCTGCTCTGGCGCAATTATTCCGGTGAGTACACACCAAAGGGAAGCACTGAACTCGAGTTTCGATCTTATGAGAGCTCATCAACAGTGCATATCCAATGGTCGTGCCGGGATTTGAACCCCGAACATTTGACAAGCGAGGCGAGCGTGCTTTTTAGAATGGTGATACGCAAGACGTTTCAGTTCCTCTTCCTGGACAGGGATATTAGCTTAGTCAGCCATCTCCCTAAACAACCAAACAGCGAAGCTCTGCGAATAGCCCAGTCAGCAACTCTACTCCCCATACCCTCTCTATCTTTCAATCATGCCCCTTCCAGGGAGTAACGTTACTCCTTCAGAAACGTACAGGTATTTTTGTTCATAGCCAAGCTCGGTAAGACTACCAACAACCGAGTAGTGCACCAGAGCTACCTATATCCTACGTGCCTACTAATAGTATCACCATGTGTCGACGAGACCAGGCAACCAATTTGAGATCTGATTTTCTGTTTGCTTGACCATACAAATCGGGGTGGCGTTTTCGAGCAAAGCAAACGATAGCGTCCCGTTACCAACCAATATTTCGGCCGAAAAAATTATGGGGTCCGCAGTGTGGAACTGCTAGGGTGGCCTGGAGCGTTTTTAATGGTTAGACGGTTAAACTCAGGGTTCTTGAATTTGTCATGGCAACCTCAGGACAATCACAGGTGGTTTGGTTCGCATGTGAACATCCGAGGCACTGGAAGAATTCATCCATTAAGTGCCAGCCGAGGAAGCCTGCAGTCAGAGCTGACCGCAGTCGGTCGCGGAAGAGTCCACTCCTCGTGAGTACACGAGAATAGCACTGTCATTTTCATCCATTTTGCCTTACTAGCAGTTTAGGGAGCGGAATGTAAAAGTTTCCTTCAGATATATGCAACGACTTTTGAAATATCTTCGGTTCAAAAGCCCAATTCGATAAAGTGACGACGCCATAGTTTGATTGCTAAGGTTGAAATTCGTAGCTCGGGTTGCGTAGGTGGTATGCTATTGATCTGATGTCAGCCAATCAGAACAGAGAATAATAGAGGAACCGTAGAGTTGCTCGCCCAAGTAACCAATCACGATCGAAGGTCAGTCTTGGCTACAATGCAGTCGAAGGTGCCCCACTGCACCACGTGGGTGTGGGAACATCACACGCAGTGGTAGCGACACATTTACAAACAGTCACTACCCTATTTGTGTGTATCCGTCACAAAGAAACTTGACCTTATTGGGGAACGAAGGTGTGCGCACATCAGAAACCTCCTGAGCTGTTTCCAGGAGGACGCTGGTGTAGCGTCCACAGAGTATGTTCAACTAGGCTAGTCAGTGAACAGAGGTTCGACAAACAAATGCAACTACTTATTCTTTTAAATTTAGGCCAATTTAGTAGCATCGATTTGGTCACTATTGCCATGTGATCAGCCTTCTAAGCCAATGACATTTGGTTGAAGATCTCAATTGTCCTCATGCCTCTGCATGGTTGCCATGGCAATATATCGGCCCTCACAAAATCAATAGCTTTTGAGATAAAATGTAACCTCATGCCACATAGGCCATTCAGCAGTGACCCGAACATGGCTGAATAGATATGTCCTCTACAAATTGGAAGATCAACTTATTCGTATCATTGTCAGCTGACACCTCATTTGCTGCATACCTATAGTAGATAGCCGGAAACATGTGACTGTTAAAGTCTCTAATCTTTCGTAATGCACCACTCCTGGTAGCGACTGAAACATGAGGCGGCCTGGTGCAGCACATTTAGTTGCCTGGAACAACACAAACGAGATATTCAGCTGGGTTTCAGGTGAGTCCCTCAAAAAACCAAATTAGTTTGCAAATGAGTGTATTTCGCTAGGCCCTCATCTCTTATCTCCGGTTCTCACTAGTACACTGGACATTCCAGAGTGGTAAGCCAGCGGAGGTCCTAGAAGGGGTCATCCCTGTAGAGACGGGAATGTATAGTAACCACTACTGACCGTGTGTTTGCTGGGCGAACTTCCTGGGTGAGGCGGGTTACCTGTGGACATTCACTGTGGGATTCGACTGTTCATTCACTCGTGTCCCCTTGGATTGACATTTACGCGTCACAAGGTGAGTCAATGGCACTATCGGCTAATTCTCTTTTTTACAGGGTATTCAGGTTGATAAGAGAATCAGCTCAAACGGCATGTGGCAACAACTGTCGTGCGTGGTGGTGAGGGGGTCCGGTAAACTAAGTTGGTTGATGGAGTTCAGTGTGAATACCATTGTAATTGGAACGAATATTTGAGTAACTTCATGGCAGCGTAACGCAAGGAACACTGAAGGTCCCCCTGTTTTCTCCGTTCTTGGGCTTGTTGTCATACGTTGTACTAAATCAAAACAGTTTCATTCACTGAGACAATGGAAACAATAGAAAGGTTGATTTTAGAGAGTGCCAAGAAGTCGACAAACAAAACTCACATTGATATCTAGGAGGATCTTTTTTCCAAAAGGAATTTGCAGTCCCCACCAACAAACGAAACCCGTGCGATGCCAATCAGTACGTCCTGGTGATTGGAATATTCCAGATTTTGACAGCCAATAGCCACATTCCACTGGGAATAAAAATAAAGCAATCTGCAACTGAATCGACGAATCTACAATGTTTCAAACCAAAACTTCAGCAAAGTACAGATATTTACCTCCTAAATGAAACCGAGCAAAAATCAACTCAGTCACTGGCAACATATCTCTTTGCTACTGTAAACAATTTCTAGTTAGAATAACTTTACGATTTCACCGTAAAGAGAGTTTAGTACGCTGTGTGCCAATGGTATTCCTTGATTCATCGATCCACATATTATTAGAATATGTACAAAGAATGAAAACAAACAGACTGATTGAACAATTGGAGCAGTTTTGCCACTCAGTGGTTGTCTGTTCGCCAAGCTTCGCAACCGGACTACAAACGTTTCGTCCCCAACTGAGATGACATCATCATTTTGTGGGTTCGACTGCCAAGTCCATCGGCAATGTTACCTCGAACGCGATCCAACTATGAAGCCAGGCGAACAGTTCAACAACCAAACAGCACAACCGGAGTGGTCGTATTCAAAGACATCGCTAACAGTTCCACACTATACGCTAGATGCACAGGGAATGTACGGAGCTCGAAATAGTACGAAAAAGTGCTTTAGACGGTGAGCTCATCTGCTATTGAAATAGTTCATTGGACTTTGGGTAGCTTTACAACAGCGGAAGCCACACTTTATGGCTTTTTGACGCACTTCGTGAGAGAAGTAAAAAATCGTTTCTTCCTGCTAAACCAACACAAAAATCACATTTGATGTCTACAACAAGACGCGCAAAAGTAGCCTCGTTTGCTGTTTCAAAACATTGTCAGGTCACATAGGATTCAACATGATTCCCCAATCCCTACTGCTTAATGAATGAAGTCTTTGGTCATGTTCCGGATTTCTTTGCTGTTCGCATGGTATGTGCAGCTGGAAGAGTTTATTGCCAGCTCGTAAAGAACGCAGAAGCCTGAATGCTGAGTGAGAGCGGAAAAAACCGGGAAGCGGTGAGATTGAATAGATTGTAATCCGTTGACAACATCGCCTTGATGGCACCCTCCTTTTCAAAGAGTCAATAAAGTGGATTTAATATTGTCGTTACATCTGAAAGACTACTAATGTAACGGTGAATACTACTGATGAGGCATACGAGTAATATGTTTTCTCGTAATTCTGGTTCGCGTCCATTGGAAAGTGGGACTTATTACGAAATTCGCGGAAGTTCTCTATAGCATTCGTTTGCATCTGAGTGATACTCAATGAATATTCAGGAAAACAGAACTCTCATATGCATCTTGTTTATAAAAACCGGATATTTATCTTCTTCTTGAACGCGTCTTCCTGAACTTTCCTGGATAGTCATTGACTGTCGTTCAAAGTCAAACGAATGCTACAAAGCGATTCCGAAAATTCCGTATTAAATCTCACTTTTCAATAGACGCGAAGCAGAGGTACGAGAAAGCATATTACTCGCATGCGTCGTCAGTAGTAGTCACCGTTACATTCAAAGTAATTTGAATCTTTTTTAAAAAGACGACCATTGTTTGTCGAGTTCGGCTGTATGTTAACAAATCCAGAAAGTGTACCATCGCATCATCTAGTGAAGATGTGGTCTTACTCTTGTAATGAGCTTTGAAACCGGTCCCATTGGCACGCCTTCCCGTCACCAAATGTACATCAAGATGTTTGAATGCGCCCATCACCGTCCGATCTCTCCCGGAGCCACAGAATCTCCCCAGATCCACGACTTCCCCTCCGGCTGTTGTTCCCGACAGAGCAGTATACGTGTCACCACACCAGTACCACAGTGGAGGCATCTGATTAGACATTCGGGAATAGGGAGTGAGGAGAACTGAGTAGTGGTTAGAAAAATAGAGTTGTAGCAGTCGAATGAACCATCCCAGTTTTCGACAAATGCACTCATTTGCAAATCTACTTGGTTTTCACGAGAGACTCACCTGAATCTCTCGTTTATCATATTCTACAACTGAATGTGCTGCACACAGACCGCTTCATTTTCCAGTCGGCACGATATTCCAGATAGCACGGTATATTTTCGTTAAGAAAACTGCTCACAAGGTTGTTGGAAAACTCTTTGACAGCCCACGACTGATTTTGCCCTTCTTGGGGTTCGTCAGGTAGGTGCGTTCCCCGAGTTTCCGTCAACCTTATGTTCTACTTAAAGGGCGAAAGCGGTCGTGGGCCGTCGAAGAGTTTTCAACAACCTTGTGAGTAGTCTCTTTCATGAAGGCAATTTCAGTTTTTTTTCAGTTCTCGTTTTCATGTGTGACGAGAACGAAGACATGACTGCTTATCATATGAAGTGAATTGACCGGTCAACACTGGTCAGGCCAACAGACCCCTTGCATATGTGGGCAGCAGTAAGGGAAAAAAGCAGCCGAAATGATGACGCACACACTTCATTGGTTTGTACGTCTTTCGACGGATGGTACGTGCTTGCACATTACGGGATAATAGTTTCACAGATTTTCCCTCATATGTAGCTATACCCAACAAATTCTTCCCACTGCATTGTTTTATCCAAATGTATGGTCCGCGAAAGGAGGTGAGTACCTTTTTTGAGCAAACCAAGGTTGTCGATGGCACATGGCACTCAATTTGGACCTGTCTAATATAAGAAAATCAATTAATTGGTCTAAGAGTGCAGAAACAGATCCTCAGGACGGCAGTGTGGCAGCCAAATTCGAAGGGACAGAAACCGAGTCCTGGGGGTGATGGTCCACGACCTCGTCCAGTCGGCTGCTCTCCAGAGGACCGCGTAATCTGTGACCAATTTGTAGAGTCAGAAAGCCCATGGCCTTGTTTTATGCGAATAACTACCGCGATTCTTCCTCAGTGGTTAGATGGTCCGAATAGGTCGGTGACCATTAAGGAATCTTTTAGCCACGCAGTGTGACCACCGTCTGTCTAGTTGAAGGGGGATGGTCACGTGCCCGTTCTCTGAAAGATCAGCTGATGACCCCAATAAATAACGTAAAAACACGTGTAACCAAGCTTTCCGAGGTTCATTTACACATTTTTCTTAGAAATGTGTTCAGCTTCCCAACCCATTCATCGTGTTTATGAAACACTGACTACTCGAAAGGACATTCTGACTACTCGTAAGTAGGCAGATATTTCAGAGATTTTTGGAAACCAAGATTTATGAATAAAACACCTAGTATGAAAGAATCAATGGGTTTTCTGATCGACTGTTTTTAGCCCGCTATTTGAGCAGGATTACTGAAGCCAGTGGTTGTCTAAACGGAGCTGAATGCCTTCCTTCGACGAACCATAAAGAGTACGCACCCGTTCCTTTAAGCAACTGGCTGCACGATTCTCACACCATGTGTAGAGCAAACCTATTGTCATCTTGGAGATTTTGCAAGTGGCGAGCAGACGCGGTCGGTCCAAGAACTGCAGCCCACTACTCCTAAGTCTTGAGTGGCACCTATCAACCGCTTAATGGTCAAGTTGAAAAGCTAGGAATAATTATATGACCAGTATTCAGATTCGAATGGACGTTAACAACTGAGCCGAATAACGAAAGACCTTGACTTCACGTTAACCTATTGGGTAAACGAGGTGGGCGACTGCGAGCTGCCGGAGTCAAGAACCGGCTAAATCTGCATGATGAGCACCAACCAGGACACATACGTGTTATGTTGCCTTTCAAGAACCCGTTACTACTTCTGTAAAACTACCAGTCTAATGGTGTATGATACTGACGAAGCATGCGAGTAGTATATGGTATGGTGTCCAAGCGCCGAACTCACATCTGATGGAAGGTGAAGCTTATTATGGATATTCGGAAACTGGCCTACAGTGTTCGACCACCATTTTATATTAGTCGATGGATATCCATGAAAGTTCATGGCCAGTTTCTAAAGACTGAGGGCAAATGAGATGTATACTTTTCGCGTCTAATGACCTATAAATGCTTACTTTGTGTTTGTTAATAAATGACGAAAGGTTTCCCCTTTCAACAGTTGAATGTTACAGTGCGAAATACTGACCGTTCCTAATGAGCGGGCTGAGTAGTATCCCTTTTAGGGATGGCGCCACATAAGTGGTGAGACGCAGCGCTGAGGTTGACGCTCGAACTCGCCGTGTTTCATTGATATCACGGAGGAACATCAGTTACGTTCAATACCGAAGCTATCAGCTAGAAGACCCGGCTTTTAGTCACGTGATAAGCAGAGGTGTGCAATCAAGGGATTTTCTGAAAACTTACTTGAAGTGTTTTGACACTAGGATAGAAGGAACTCAGGACCATTTCGAGTCGCCCTTGAACATGATAGAACCTCATAAAAAGAAAGTTGTGGTATAGCGGTGGAGACTACTGGTGAAGCATGCAAGTAGTGTGTGGTTTTCTCATAAATCAGCTTCACATCTATTGAAAAGTGAGATTTATTACGGAATTTGTGGAATCGCTTTGTAGCATTCGTTTACGTTTGAACGATAGTCAATGAATATCCATAAAGTTTAGGAAGACGCGTTCGAGAAGAAGGCGGATACACAATTTGTTCTAAACAAGATGCATATGAGAGCTTTGCTCCCCTATCCAATAGTCTGTTCAGTTGTTTTTTTCCATTTTATAAGACCGCACCGAAGGCCTTCTTCCTTTCAGTGGTGGCTACCACAATCAGTCGACTGATGGTCTGACTGCCTTAACTTGTTAACTCGGCGTTTGTTACTTTTTAACCTAAGCTGACATAAGTCGGCAGAGCATTTTACGGGTAATCATAGGAAGCTATTTATCCATCTTTCAGGCAGTCATCTAGGCTTTTGATTGTGCTCTCAAAGAGAATTCGGATTTTGCTCATCCCAGCTGAGTAGGAGGTAATCTTGGCCAGCAGCAGGAAACGAGGCTTTGAAGAGCAAACTTCACTGGACGAAGCAAACCATTTCCTAACCAATCAAGAGGGGTGACCAGCCAGAATGAAGCACTTTAGAACGTCCAGTGAGGCGTCTAGAGCCGCGGCAAAAGGCTGTTTCATTTTTAATGGAAAAAAGCAAACGTTTCTCAGCGAGGATCTTTTGCGCGATTCTCCAATGTGCAGAACAACCGAACGCCCTTGACTATGGTACCCGTTTCTGCCGTGGATACCGTGATACCAAAAGTAGGCACGGAGCAGGCATATTTCGAAGCCTGTCAAGTGAATAGAATTTTCTTCTTGGTAGTGTCACGTTTTTTCCCTGGAGATGATTTTAGACTGACTTGAAAACTATGAACTGTTCGGACCGAACAGTCACGAGTTGATAAACGCAGCATTCAGCCATCTTTTAAGCTGCCTTATGCTAAAATAGGTCAAAGCAGAAACCACAGGAATGAATGTCTGAGCCTTTCTGAGGTACTTCATGAACTTCACTGGAATTCAAACCGCAGGTAAGGCGAGTTTCACATCCAAAGCTTCGCTTTGTTAGTATCAGGAAGGCCAGATTCCTGAAAGCAAGCACTGAATGCCCGAAATAATCTAAGACTCTGAGAGACCAGACAGACAACACCCCCTTACTTTGCAGTGCGTCACGGCCTTGTATCCAATCCAGGCAGCGCGAGTCAGCGTTGATCAAGGTCAGACAACGCCCCCGCAATTTACAACGCGCCGCAGCCACATACCAAAGTCAGACCGCGTGCGTCAGCACTGGACCACATTACACAGTGTCCCTCCAATAACTAGGTTGAGACCATTGTATTTTCGCACTTGCACGCACTCATGCTCCCCCACTCGCTTGATCGGAAAACAGCCGTTGTGTTCACTTCCGTGGGAACTTTTTCCGGCACCAGGCTCTCATCATCATCGACAGCATGACATCACTCTCTGTTTAGCCACTCTGAGTTGGGCACGGAAAACAGCACACATTTCGGCAAACGATGGTTCGGCATGCGTAACACATGTCCCAACCAACGCCGCTTCTGGTGCTGGACACATTCTTCAATGGAAGTACCCGTTACACAACCGAAAACACGCTCTCTAACTGCCTCGTTACGGATTCG